AAATATGATCGTAGCCTCGTTTCCTATGGTGATGGTTCATATGAAAATTTATTATGTTGAAGCCTCATTTCCTATGGTGATGGTTCGAGTGCAATTATTATGTTGAGATATATTATGTTGATGATGTTGTTGTGCATGTTGAGAGTCGATGCATCCATATTGTGGAACTTATGTTCTAAATTATGTTGTGGCCTAATTTTCTATGGTGATGGTTTGAGTGCGAGTAGTTAAATCCTTCCTCCGGAGATTTAGTGAAGCATTACTTACGGTGATGGTAGCGATTTGGTGTGCTCTGGTTCAAGAGTGAACCAAAATCCTATGATGGTGGATCTTGTATCCTATGGTGATGGAACAGGGAGCGAAATGAACCTATGTGTTCATGTTATGGTACCACATGCATTATGTTAGTGTTGTTACATGAACATCCTGTGTGGCTTTGCATGAGTTTTATTGATGAAATATGATGTGATAATATTTATTACTACATGAATATGTGCAGATTTTTTTATGAAGATGTTGTGTGAGCTATTTATGATGAATGAAGGTGTGAGTATATGTTATATTGATGCTATTGAATTGTAGACTATAATTGTTGGAGTTTACTTTTCTCTTATTTCTTTTATAATTGATTATGATTATTCACCACTTCTGTTTGAATGTTGCCTCCACGTGGGTAACATGCAGACCCAGGAGTAGCTTGCAGAAGTAAGGAAGATAGATCACTGAAATACTAAGTAGTTACCGTTAGTTTAGAGGTGTCTTGCTCTGATATGTAACATCGGGTCAAGAACACTTTTTGAATTTTTATGTTATAACTATGTTGAAACCCTTGCAAGTATTTTGATCGTTGAACTAGTTTTATTTCCACTCTTTTATGAGATCTAGACTAAATGTCATGAGTTTGAAAGTTGATATGTTTATTTGATGATGATTCTGCTGCGATGTTTTAAATAAGTATTTAAGTTTCATAAATATCATGAATGTGTATTCATTATGAATATTATTATTGTAACCCGTATTATAGAGCAAGATTGGTTTATGTTTTTATGATGCGTGACTCTCTTGTGTGGTGATTCTGATTGAATTATTCGTGAATTTTATGTGGAATTTAGAAGAGTGTTACAACAACCACGTGGAATATATGGCTAATGAGAAATTAAATAATATTCAAATGAGTGAAGATAAATATTTAATGGAATGCATATAAGATCAAAGGTTTGTCATGGAGTTGGTATGTTTATAAAGTAGAGAGGTAAGCGTTGTAGTAATGATATTTGTTAACGATGAAGATCTCAAAGTAACTAACTATATTGATGATGGAAGAAAATGATTCATTGGTTAGCTTTAGCAAATAGATGCTAGGTATATATACATGTACATTAGTTTAGGAAAATAAGTGAATAAACTAGCATAACTAACTACATAATCTCACTAAACTTACTATGCAATTTTACCACTTAACTATTATGCCTATGTGTGTAAATGCATAAGCTAATATCTCCATTCAAGTTGGACTATGGATACTAAAAAGTCTCAATTTGGTCATAATTAAAGACAAAACAAGAGATTGAAGAGGCTCTGTGAGCATATCAGTCTGTTGAGCATTGGTAGAAACTTGAAGCAAATGGATGAGTTTGGAACGAAGCATCTTTCGAATTACATGACAATCCAGTTCTGTGTGTTTTCTCCTTTCATGAAAAGTGGAATTATAGGTAAGATATATAGAAAATTTTATATCACAGTAGACATATGAAGATTTGGAGAAGCTAATCAGAAAATATTTAAAAAAATATTTCAACCATTGTAATTCATATTTAAAAAATATTGCAACCATTAACATGTCAACCATTGTAATTCAGTTGATAATCTGGATACAATATGTTGTTTCTTGGATTTCCAACAAAGAAGATATGAATCAAGTATAACTTACTAGCCAGTGATAAACTTCCTTGTATCAAAACACCTTGCCTAATCAAAGTCAGCAAAGCCAAGGAGTTTCAAATCACTAGATGCTGAGAATAAAATGCCTTCAACGTGGAAGGACTTCAAGTAATTGTGAAATCTTATAGCAGCTTGATAATGTGGAAAGAGAGGATGAGAAACATATTGGCTCAAATGTTGAACAACATAAGAGATATTAGCCCTTGTGTTTGTCAAGTAGATTAACCTTACAATCATCCTTCTATAAGAAGAAGGATCCTCTAGTGGTTGACCATCAGTGGTTGGAAATCTTGTTGTGGGATCAAATGGTATAAATGATGGCCTGGATGCAAGAAAACTTGTGTATTATAAGAATTCAAGTGTGTATTTTCTCTAATTCAAGAAAATTCCTTTAGTGGGTCTGGAAATCTCAAACCCCAAAAAATACCTCAACTGACCAAGGTCTTTGATTCTGAACTTTTAATCCAAAAGATGTTTAACAAACTGAATTTCCTAAATTAAATCTCCTGCCAAGACAATGTCATATATATAAATCAACATAATAGTGAATCTACTCTTGCTTGAGTTGGAATACAAGGAATGGTCTGCTTGTGATAGAGAATATGCCAAAGAAATCAAGAAGGACGACAAGTTAGAGTACCATTGCCTACTTGTTTTTATTAAACCATACAAAGATTTTTTAAGCTTGTGAAGCCGGGATGAATTAGATATAGATATGTCAAGGGGAAGAGTCATATAAACTTCTTCATTCAAGTCACCCTGGAGAAAATAATTGTTAACATCTAGCTATCGCAAATGCCATCGATCTAAAACAACGATTTAGCAGTAGATTAAAAAATTGAGCGTTGAATTCAAGAAAGAACCATAGTCTTGCAGCGAATTCAAGGAGCATATAGAGGATCAGAAACATGAGGTTTAGTTAGGATTCTGTCACTAAAGTTGTCCTTGTTCTTTGAAATCAATGTTATTTGCATCGATTGAACCCATGTATGGTAATTTTAAATTGGATATGTCAGGGAGTTTGTAATAGAGTATTTGGTAAGGTGATTTGTGTTTCAAGAAAAGTGTCAGCAATATATTTATGATGTGTGCATTATGACCAAAAACATGAGCCCAAAAAATTGGAGGTAAGTGAGCTTGAAACAAAATAGCTCTAGTTATGCCAAGGATGTGTTGGTGTTTTCTTTCAATAATGTCATTTTGTTGAGGAGTACCAACACAAGTTATTTGATGAAGAATGCCTAATTGTTTGTAAAAATATGTGCGAATAAATTCATTACCATTAACAATTATAATACATTTGATATGAGAATTGAACTGAGTTTTTATCATTGCTATAAAGGATCTAATGATGGATGTTGTCTCAAATTTCAGTCTCATGAGAAAGAGTCAAGTGAACATGCTCTTATCATCTTTAAGAGTAAGAAAATATCTATGTTCCATCATAGATGGCATGGCTAAGGATCCCATATATCCATATGTATTAAATCAAAAATGGAACTAGAGACATGATGACTAAGGGGAAATGAGAGTCTCTTTTGTTTGACATAAAAACACACATCACAAAGAGCTCTTATAAATTAAGTTCTTGAATATTTGAAATAAATCCCTAAATTCTAAACTACCGATTATCCAATAAAAACCTAAAATTCCTAATAATAAACCAAAGTCCCCTACACGATTCATTACAAACGCTTTTTGACAAACATTTGCCGCAATAGGACGTGTGAACCAAAAACCTATTAATAGATAAGAACACATTCCAACAAATTCCCAAAAAATATAAATTTGTATCAAATTTGAACTAGTAACTAATCCTAACATTGAAGTATTAAAAAAACTCATATAAGTAAAAAATCTCAAATACCCTTGATCATGAGACATGTAACTATCACTATAAATTAGAACAAGAATACCAACAGTAGTGATTAATATTGACATAATAGAAGTAAGTTATGATTGTCAGGTTTGATAAAAGGAAAACTTTTATTGAGTTCAAGTAATTTGACATGTGAAGAATGACTAAGTCTAAGATGTCACATGTTACAAGTATGAGTATTATCTAAAGTATGAGTAAGAGTGGTATTGATGTAATGATCAGGTGGATCATTGTGCAAGGTAACAAATGGGAAATTCAAGAGGTACAATCCACCATTCATTGTAGTTGTGCCAATCATCTTCTTGGAGCATGTATCCTGTTTAACATAATCAGTATCATTAAAAATCATATGGCAATTAAGAGATTTGGTCAGTTTAAGAATAAATATGAGGTTAAAGGAAAAATCAGGCATGTATAATACATCATTGATGTAAAATGTTTGGTTAAACTGTATGGTTCCTGAAAAATCAGTGGAAACAAGACTATCATTTGGTAATTTGATGGGCTTAATTCTCTTAATGCACTGAAAATATTTTCGCGTGTAACACACATGATCAATTGCACCAATGTCTAATAGGAAAGTTTCAGGTTTTAATGAGTTATGAATTGTGTAGATAATACCCGAACCTAGATCATGTTGAAAGTTTAAATGATTGATGCTATGAGACTGTGAGTGAAATGATTCTTAAAGTAATGCTAGCAAAGCTTTGTGTTTCTCTGGTGTAAAATTCAGAACATTAGAATCTTGTGCAATTTCTTTAGTGGTTTCCCCTGCATTTTCTTAAGACTTATCTGACATAATGGAATATTGATTAACTGTATCATCTTGCTTCTAATTATCATATGCACCATTCCCAACCATCAATCAAACTCACACCAGAAATGATTATACGCGCTTGACAACTAAATTTTATCTCACACTGTGATGCTGGGTATGATATATAATAAATTTGCATCAATATAATAACACCAGAAGATGTCAGAAAATAATTCTTCAATTTTTATTCATTCAAGCAAACAGATAAACCAGTACACACCAGCTAACAAATTGTGTCTGATAAATGCAACTTCTGTAATTTTTCAGGTCACAGGATTATTATTCGACATAATTAATAAAAGTTCAGAAAACAAGATTATTAGACGAAAAGTCTCGAAATGCGCGTGCTTCTCCATCTTTGAATCATGCAGCTGCTTGCTTCTTGATCCTTGCCAAACAGTTGTCCAATGGCCTTGTGTGTGGTAAGAATCTTATGGGAGATTTTGGGTTAAGCTGTTCAAGTCTGCAAAAAATAACACATAACATTAATATAAGTGCTTTTATGATAATTTTAATAGGAACTTTAAATGGTGAAAAAATATTTACTCATATTTGAGGAGGAAATGGTGAAGGAAAACTGAGATTTCCAGCTTGGCAAGATCATTGCCAGGGCACAATCTAGTTCCTGCTCCAAATGGAAGGAACTCACCAGCCTTTCGCACCACCTATAAATCAACACAAGCAAAATTGTCAAATGTATGGAATTAATCACTTATTTGTTCTTTAATTCAATTAATCACTAGACTTACACTAAAGTTTTCAGGATTGAACTCCCTTGGATCAGGATAAAGTTCAGAATCAAAGTGAACTGATCTGAACCAAGTAAGCACTCTCCATCCCTTTGGAATGAGGTAACCTGAAATATCAAAATATCGTCACAATAAACTCTCTAATACATTACTTATATCGCGAGATTGAAATTCATATGAATTCTGTGAAATTTATGTGTACTAACCATTAACTTTGACATCGGCCCTCGCCTGGCGAAAGACCATAAGCGAGAAAGTAACCACTCTCATTGTTTCATCAATCACCTATGAAATTATAGACACATCATAATATAAAAAAACATCAAATGTAACCTTAAAAATAACAAAAAATACAAACCCTACCTTAGAAAGATATTCCATTTTTCTAACATCCTCTAGTTTCAACCCTTTTTGTGATGGAGGCCTTCTCTTAAGCATTTCAACTTGTTCTTCCTATTAAGGATATTATGAAGAAGCAAAGTTAAGTGCAAAAATGATTCATGATTTTGAAAAATATATAGATGCTAAGAATTTCGATAATACCTTAGCCTTTCGGAAAAATTCAGGATGCCTTTGCAAGAAATAGGTAGCCCACATGGTGATATGTCCTGAAGATTCATGACCAGCATTCAAGTACATCAACATGATATCAATGATTTCATCATCACCCAATTTTCTTCCATTTTCATCAACAGCATCTATCAATGAATCCATCATATCTTTGGCTTTTTGACCCGGTACTGGTTTTTTTCCTCTCCTTTCATCTCTTCTCTTGTCCACAATTGATTGAAATATAGCCACAAGATTTTTCCTAGCCTGTAAAAAACAAAGTAATGTTAAGAGATATATAGTTTCATTAAGCACTTTTAAAATAAGCACTTACCTTAAGTGATTTATGGAAAGCAAATCCAGGAATATTAATTCTCATAGCTCTAACACCAAGGTTAAGAACTGTATATTCTCTTTCCAAAGCTTCCATAACCGGTTCACTTTCTGAACCAAGGAAAATATGAATAATAATCTTAAAAGTGAGTTTTCTCATTTGAGTTAAGAACTCTATTTCACCCATTTGAGTCCATTTTTCCAATGAACTAATCACAATTTCTTCAATATATTTCAAGTACACTGAAAGTGCCTCGTAGCCATTGATCGAAGCCGATGTTAAACGTCTAAGTCTTCTATGTTCTTCAAATGGCATTTTGATGAACGATTTTTCGCCGATTAATTCGACCGTTGATTGTGGCCAGCCAGGTTCAAAATTTTCATCATCTGTTAAAACTTTCTTGCATGCTTCTGGTGATGTCACAATTACACTTGGGAATCCAAACATGAATACCTTGTATATGCCTGTGTTTCCAAACCTATAAAAAAAATATTATAAAAATTTGTATAAATAAAATAATAGAATAAATAAATATTAATAAATCAAATAATGAATTTATATTTGCCCTATCAGATGAACTGTAACTCTGCATGATACCAGTATTGAGCACCTATGCATGTCATACATCTAAGGCAAAATTGTGACAAAACATTGCAAGCATAACTAGGATGAAATATTTACTTAATTTAATACTACTATCACACTTTTAATATTTATATATTTTTCAAAAAAATTCCTCAAAATTATCGCCACCATGTCATGGAGTTTTCAAATCGGAAAATGTGTAAGGAAAAAAACTATGAAAAAAACAAAAATAAAAACTTTGCATGCATGTATATATTAAAAAAAAAAATCAGTAAAATTCAATCTATGCTCATCATATTCATGAAGAGAGTGTTATAGTTACCTCTTGACGATAGAATCCATGAAAGAATCTGGTTTATTGGACTTGAAAGCCCTAAGGAATGACCACATGTTCCCGATTATTGGCCATCCCATGTCACCTGGTGGCAAAGTGTATTGCTTGTCACCAAGTTTTGCTTCATAGAGCAACCAATTCACACGCTTGAGGAGATATCTTAGGACCAAAAGAGCACCAGCAATTGCACCAAAGATGAACCATATGGAAGCCATCACTAATAGAACTCTATGAACTCACTCACTAACTCAATTTGAATGAGAACCTCTAATCTATTGGTCTCTTTTTATATGCAAAATATTCAAGGAGAATGAGATGGAGAAATATTAATTGTGCATGAATCTTATTATTATATTACTATAAGCTATACAAGGTAAATAATTTCTAAAATGTTATTAAGAAAATAATAATAATAAGAATAATAATAATAATAATTTCTAAAATGTTGAATATATGTGTTTTTGGAGATTGTGCATGAATTTTAATCAAATATTTTGACCACTAAATTTATTTTGAAATATTTTTTTATTTATAATTTAGTAAATTTGAACCAACGATGTATTTTAAAGATAAATATTCAACATGTGTTTATTTTAACGGTGAAAATTCTTAATTAATATCAAATATTCCGTGAGATCAAGGTTATTATTTTTAATTTCTAATTTTTCACAATAAAATTTTAATTAAACATTGAGTGGCGGCGGGTCATCGCTCTCGAAATAGGTGCTCAATCGTTAATATAAAATAGAAATGAATGTAAATTAAATCTAGAATGTTCACAAACAACATATTACTGTTAAATAATAATTATATTTGATAAAAAATATTTTTTCTAAATTTAGCTTAAGAATAAAAAAAACAAAATGTTAATTTTATTGTGAATAAGTTAATTTTAAATAAAACAAAATCATATTTTTAGATACAATGTACATTTCTCTCAAATGAAAACTAAATATTTAGTTGTCATTGTTAATTAAATCATCTCAAATGATAAAATAATGCACTGTATTTTTTAATGTTACACTCCTCTTATATTTTATACTATCATATATTTTTATCCTTTTTTTTGACAACAGTGTATTGTTTTCAAACGAATATATATATATATACATATATATATATATATATATATATATATATATATATATATATACATATATATATATATATATATATATATATATATATATATATATATATATATATATATATATATATATATATATATATATATATATATATATATATATATATATATATATATATATATATATATATATATATATATATATATATATATATATATATATATATATATATATATATATATATATATATATATATATATATATATATATATATATATATATATATATATATATATATATATATATATATATATATATATATATATATATAATACATGTTAAATAATAACGGTAAATATGGTTACACAAATATAAACAGAGTATTCTTGTCTTTGAATTAGAAAACTAATATAAGTAATTAACATTAACAAATATTCCCTCCATTCTTATTATATTGTATTACATTTAAACTCTTGACCACCCTTAAGGAAAACAATTGGTAGTGTAGATTTTATAAAAGAATTATATGGTATGACGTAATATATGCTATTTATCTCTATTCTTAAATAGATATTTTATTAAAAGTAATAATAAAAATAATAATGAATAAGGGTATAAAAGGAAAATATTTAATTATTAATTGGAGACGTAAGACCATAATCAAAATTGAGATAATTCAAGATATACATCTACATCTAGAGATAACAACGGACTCAAGTATATTAGTCATCCGCAATGAGTAGGATAAATATTCAAATTTTTTTTTTTTTGATACTAGCCTGAATTTAAATAATTCAAAATACATAAATTTGAATATATATATATATATATATATATATATATATATATATATATATATATATATATATATATATATATATATATATATATATATATATATATATATATATATATATATATATATATATCAATTCATATATTTAAATTTAATTTATTTTAAAAGTATTATTAAAATTTAAATTTAGATAGTTCTTTAATAGAGATCACTATTTATATCGTTTCTTTCTCGTGGGGTTTGTGTTAGTGTCTATTTTCTTTCCTAGTTAGTTGTTATTTTAGTTTCGATTTCTTCTAAGATATATGATTTTATTAGTTGATTCGAATTTGAAGTGGATCAGAGACTTCGACTTTAATGGTGGAATGGAGGAGGAGGGGAGTGTACCTGCAATGTACTTTGATGCTAAAGTCAGTAAGAGCATAAATAGATACAAGAAAGAGGTTAGGATTTTTAGAATGAATATTGGATACCTGACCCTTAGATGTGTGAAAGTTTATATAGTGCTCCCGACACTTGATCGTTGGTCCTTATTTTTGGCCTAGATATTAGGTTCCTAAAAAATAAGTAACTTCCAGGAACTGATCAAAACGGGCAGTCGTGTTCGTAACTAGTCATTGGTCCCTTTTACCTGTCCCAATTGATTGGGTCAAATATATTGGGCCATCCTGGATGTAGGAGTGGATTAGGCCATGCCTGAGCATTGGGTCAGACCAGAACAAGAGCCTCCCAAGTCGTTGCTTCTAGGCATATGAGTGACGACTTAGAGCCAACCCTAATACCGAGGCGGAAAGTCCATTGTTGGCGCTTGTTGTTCGCAACAGAGAAGTTTTCGTGATTTTTACGAGGACATGCTCGTACGTGATATATTGTTATTTGTTAGATTTATGCATGTTTGTGTGCTCGTCTGTTTGGGACGTCTATTTTGCTTAGAAGTTTAGGGGGTTCCTCGTTAGTATTGAGGTTCGCCAGTGAGGGGAGACTGGTCAAACGGCCAGGGTATATTATCAGGCATGAGCTCGGTGGCGTGAACTTCCTATCGTGAGGTGGGTGTTCTGCCATTGTGGTACGACGACGGTGAAACTCGTTTGAGTTTTCCCCTTCGGGCTAAGAATCTTCTCGTCAAAAGAGTGGAAACTTGCCTCCTCGTTTGATTTAATGTGTCATGCTTGTACCTGAGCACACACGTGGTCGGGAATGTTGTGTTCGTCATTTTGACAGAGCACACCGACTATTTATGGCCTTAGCTATAATATTGTTTAAGCTTTTCGGTGTTTCTGATAAACACAAAAACACATCGCATATTTGGCTCGATTAGCATAAATAATGTTACCATTTTCTATTAATTATGTTGCATTATGTTGGTATTTAAGTTTGTTCCAGGTATTAATACTCCACAAGGCTTGCATTAGAAAAGAGGAAGAAATGGAAAAAAAAAGTTGAAAAATCACAGAGTAGCAGAAAAACAGAAATTGCATGACAGAAGACTGTGGTGGTCGTCACAACCTTCATGCCGGTTGCCACACTTGAACTAGGTGTGCCCTACAACACACATTGCATTACGGTCGACACATGCTCAAAGTTTGTATGCCCCACGACACACAATGCACGCCCTTCGCCACAACAGTCCCAACAACGTTAATTGTGTGGTTTTCTCCTCGTCTGCAACAAAGCTCCTATATTTACTCAAACAAACTGAGTCTGCCCCATGATCACTACGTCCTATATTTTTGGAAGAGTCCATTCTCAACAGCCGAGTATTCCGAATTCCACTATTTCCTAAATCTTCTCCAACTGAAGTTATAGGGAGGCTATATAAAGAAGGGAGTTGTGCAGTGAAAAGGGTCGGAGAATTTTACCAATTTCATTCCTTTGTTCAGAGCTCTTGTTGTTTCTTTTCTTTAGATTTTAAGCAGATAAATTCCTACCTGATATAGCAATAGTTTTCCACATTGGGGGAGCTATTACACTAGTAGATTTTATTCACATCTTTCAGACTTTGTTTTAGTTTACATCTTTCCTGCATTCAAGTTATTATTTTCTGCAAAGCAAATTCTGTCGGAATATTGTGGAGGATTGCACTTGGTACTAGAAGTATAACATTAATTTAAATTTTCTTTCATCCATTCCAGGTTCCTATTTCATTTATATATATTTCCCTTTATTTAATAATCATTATCATGTTATTGTTTGTTCACTGTAATTTTGTGTTGATTCTCAATAACATGTCTGGCTAATTTCCCTGATACTAGTATGTAAGGTCATAGAGCCAAAGGGGTTTAGTAATAAATTGGTATAAACATTTATAAAATGCTTATTTGGTTTTCTTTCCAATATTTAATATTAAAAATGTTTTATTACGAGAGTAAAAGACAAATGAAGGCTAAAACTGATATAACGAGAGTTTGAGATTTTAATCGGGTAGTAGTAATCAAACATTAGTTTTAAATACAACGAGAGCGGTTTAGGACTGATTAGATTCTATTTGTTTTCAAAAAGTATTTTTATATTTTAAATGAAACAACGAGAGCAAGCATTTAGGTTTAATAATATAGTCCGAATCAATAATCACGAGAGTGTTAGATAAAGGTTTTTAAACTGATAGTTTCTACTGAAATAATATTTTTAATACTCAAAGCTATACCAATGACTTACTGAATCCCCGAAGTCAGACATTACATACCAGTGTCCCATTATCGAATATTTCATTTAAGTCTTAATTTATTTCCGTCTCACCCAAAACCCTGCTTAATTATTAGCCTTAGCTGTTGCACCCCAAAATTTATCCTCTTGATTCAGGCTTATGATTCATCATAAACATCATATTGCATTGCATGCATTCTCTTGTGATGGGATCAAGGTACTTTGGTTCTCAAGTTGTCTACAAGTTATGCTGGTTGATGGTATTGACAATTAGTGCAAGAAGGGAGCTCATTCTCTCAAACTTTGGGTTTCTCAAGTCACAAGGGTCTCTAATGTCTCAAGACATTTCATCCATCTCATTGGATCATCAGGATTTTGAAGATTCTGTTGAATCACATTCTCTTATATCATCAGTCAAAATTAGGGTTTTGTCCAAATTGAAGTAATTGGGGTTTAGATGAGCCAATCTTTGAAGCATCATTTTATCATCATAATTGGAATCAACTTTGTTCAAGAAATCTCTCATGATGCCCAATGGAGTTAGGGTTTTGGAGCTTGATCAGCTATCTCCTAACACAAGGTGCAAATTAGGGTTTTGGATTTAATCAGGATTTATCTGACTTTTTCACCCAAACTTTTTTACATGATTCACTACATGTTATTAAGCATCTTTGACTGAAATATTGAG